GTGCTCTAGACCCTTCACCAGCTTCGTTGCCCTTCTCTGGACACAGTCCGGCACCTCAACGTACTTCTTTTAGTGAGGGGCACAAAACTGCACACAGTATTCGAGGTGCAGCCTCACCAGTACTGAGTACAGGGGCACGATCACTTCCTTATTCCTACTGCCCATGCCATTTCTGATACAGGCCAGGATGCTGTTGGCCTTCTTGGCTGCCTGGACGCACTGCTGGCTCATGTTTAGCTGGCTGTCGACCAGCACCGCCAGATCCTACCGGACATAATAGTTTTGTGTTGATGTCCCGGTTTTGCTGGGACAGAATGATAGAATCAATGTTCTGTTCAGCAAAGCTGCATTTTTGGGAAGGCTGCAGCACCAGATTCAATGAGAGCAAAGCTGATAAGACGCTTTGTTTTAGTTGGTGCCAGCCTGGTGTGCGGGTCCCTGTAGTGACCAAGGCCTTTACCAGTTGCGAGTTAGCAGGTGCTAAAGCTGGGAGGAGCGAAAGCCAGGGCAGCTGGCCCAAGCTGGCCAACGGGAGTGTTCCATACCATAAATGTCACACTCACTATAAACTGGAAAGTTTGCTGGGGACGGGCCTCTTCCTCAGTGGTCGCCACCCCTGGAGGGTCTCACCCGTTGTTCTACTCCCGAGGCCTGCTCGCCCGCTTGTGGTGACCGTCACGCGTTTGCTGGAGCTGTGGTGTTTGCAGTGCTCGATGCCTGGCATCCGCTGCTGGGAGCGTGCAGCTCGCCACCACTGCGTGGGCCGAGTACAACTTTGCGTACTTTGTATTAATACTAGTTTATTATTATTATTTTGTTAAATCTGTTTCCTTTTCAACCCATGGGTCTCCTTTTCCCGATTTCCCTCCTTGGGTTGGGGGTGGGGTGGGGCATTGAGTGGTAGAACTACTAAATGAAGACAGTTGAGTCTGCTTAAACAGAGAAAATGTATTAAAATTATATTAGTTCCCTATTTTAGAAATTGGAAAATTAACTGTCTTACTCTCTTGCTTTCTTATGGTTGACAAAGTATGCTCAAATAGAAGCATTCAGAGAGTTCTGCATGTGGTATTTGGATTATTATCTCCTGCCCTTTCTAGACTCAGTTTGATATCAAGGTGTTTTAAAGCTAGGTGAGCACATATGGAGCTCTCTTTGGAGCTTATGTTGTTTAATAAAAAGTCTGTTCAATAGAATTGTTCATAGGGGATCTTATTTGAAGAATCTCTAGATAACAAAAAAGAGAGATTTCATAAAAAAGATAAACCTTATGACTGAAAAAATTCTATTGAATGAAAAATGCTCCATTCTAACAGTTTTATGTTTGCGTCTTGCTAAACTATCAAAAGGGATCATTGGGGAAATATTATAGCAATGTAGGAAGAAAAACTGCAGTAAGAAGCAGCTGAGAAAAAGTGACTTACACATTCAATACCATGAATGAGAAAAAGTCACAATGGTATTGTGAACTGGTCAGAATCTGTATCGTTTCTTTGCTGCTTAGGTAAACAAACTAGTTTTTCCAGCTAGTGAAACTGTCCAATAATTAGGTTTTGAGGGAATAAAGAATTAGTTTGCTTATATGTGCAATATTGAAAACGTCATTACATGATCCAATAATTTCTGTTCCTAGTTCCATGTTTTTGTGTTTGTGTACTCACCTACCAGAATGCACTTGTTTGCCTCTAATCTGTAATGTTATCTTATGTTAAAGTTATCCCTTTAACATCACTTTAGCACTTGGCACTTTACTCTTAAGGGTGTCTGTAACAGGGGAGGTGTGGAAGAATGATGTTCAGGGTCAAATCCAAAGAGCACTCCTTCAACGAACTTTGGAATTGCTCCCTGTTGCAATTCTTGATGCTCTACACTTCCGACCACTGAACATAATTTTTGGCAGTGATGAGTGCTCAGTGATCAGAAAGGGATGCAGACCACACCTGAAGGGGAAAGATGTGGCCCAACTTAGAAATAATGCCATTGTTAAAATGCTTCTTTCATGTGTCTGTGCTATCAAAACCACAGAAAAAAATCTGCAGAAACACTGAGACCTACCACAGAAAATGAATGCAAAAAGTGATCAAAGTTTCTCTTGAATCTCTGAGCTTTTCAGTCACTTTCTGAATAGAAAAGTTCTCTTTTGGTAAGAGAGCTATTAATATGTGCCCTCCATCCTTTATGATACTTTCTCTCTTATTGCATTCCCTTAACAACATCTATTTCTACTGCATGCTATTACCTACATGATTTTCCAGATTCCTCATTTACCTTGAGTGTGTACACTCATGTTCAAATTAGTAAGAATATCTATTGATTAGGAACATTACTATTGATTTCTATGACTGCTTTCTATCATTATAATGATTTTTCAGAAGTAGGGGAGACAGAAAAACATTCTCATTATACAAAATTCAAGAAAATTATTTTAAGAAAAGCATGACTGATGTTCACCCTACTTCTGAAATTTTCAAGACTTAATACGCTCACAAGACTCCCAAGGTGCACATCGGTATGTGCCAGTTGTTTTATACTGACCCTTAAAGGCATACTTAATTAAGTTTACATGTAATTTCTGAGGATAGCTAGGGTATGCTTGGTTTGCTCAGAGTTCAGATAAGGCTTTTGAGGTGGACATAAAAATATTTGCTGTCACAGCAAATGACTTTAATAAAAAGGAATTAATTTTAAAATGAAAAAGTTTTGGCATTCTGTATTGTGACACAGAGGCATAGAGTCAGAACAGTAAGTTTTCATGCTAAAGGTTGCTGATTAATTTGTAGTTTTCACCTTTCTCTTCTCAATTAATGAGAGGCCCATATGGTCGACAAACCTAAACTGTCTGTTTCCCTTATGTCAATATGTGTGAAATGATATTTTAAAGAAATGGATTTGTGTCCTTTGAAAAGTGAATGGATCATATTTTGCTTGGTTTGCTGCTTTTTTTTTTTTTTAACTGCTGTCTTCTATGTATCACAAAAAACCACAATTCTCTACCTGTCAGTTCACTGCTCATCAAAAAATATGTTATAACTTTAGCCCTTCTTAAACTAAATAAAATTCTTTGGAAGGAGGCAGAACTGGGTCAGGCATCCAGAACATAGTGTATGTTTTAAACACTTTTGGGCAATTTTTGGATGCATCTATTGAATGCTTTTTTAACCTATTGTACAGATAGGGTGAGGACATTAGCCATGCCTGGCAAGGTTTAACTCCATATAATCTTTTTTTCTTTCTTTTGGTAGTCCATATTCTTGACAAAATAGACAAGAGCCAAATCTTATTGTTAACTGGTATCATTTAGACTACAACTAATCTGTTTTACACTGAGTAAACAACTGATCTAAAGATTTTGAACAGAGAAAATTTATTTTCATGCTTTAATGCCTACACAACACTTATATGCATTATGAACAGTTTTTACAAAGCAAGCAGCAAATCAAAGGAGCAGTTCTTAAATAAAAGCATTCATACATGATATATTTACTTCATTATTTGTAAAGACAGTATCAAACACGGTATAGTGGAAAAATACCAGCTGAATCATTCAACTTGTTCTCCTGTCAATGAAAGCTAATATCCTACATTACTCTACTAAGAAAGATTTAACTTTATTTTAACTTTAAATGATGGAGTGGAACTACCAAACAGCCTATTAACTGAGAAGCAAAAATATATATTAGAATATACAGATTATTGTAGTTAAATATTTTGGTTAAAGTCAAAATTTAAGATTTAAGATTTCTTATTCATTTAAGCTTACCTCTTCAGAGCCAGAGCCAAAAATCAGCAGATCAAAAGGTATTGCAGCAACCATGTCAATTAGGAACCAGCCTTTGAAGTAGTGAATTGCTATTTTTGCTGGGTCACTTACCACTTCTTCATTCTGGTTTACATATGTTGTTCTGAAGTTTATTAGAATGTCAATGATAAACATAATATCCACAATTAAGTCTACAACATTCAGTGGGCTGCAAGAATATCCACACTCTCTCCTCTTCCGTTCCTCACTATCATTCAGAAGGAAGGCAGCAGAGTAAGGGGTGAATATGGCGGTGTATATTACCAGCAACAAAATGAGCCAGTCCCAGACGGCTTTGAAAGGACTATAGTGCAATATAGTAAACTTGTTGATGCGAGGTGTCTGGAGTTTATATTCTGGTAGAACATCAGCCCCTAAGGATAGAACCTAGAATAAGAAACATACCAGGTCAATAATTTGCAAATCTGTTCTTGTCAGCTTAAATTCACTGTAAAAGACTCTATAGGTCTAGTACAGCTGAAGGTGTGACAAAGAAGGGTACCACAGAAGTGTTGCCTTTTGCTTCACTTCTGCTTTTGTCAATGCCTAAAGCTTGTTATCATTCCTTTAAAAGTATGGATTTGTTATCTGTTGGTGTTATCTAAGTTGGCTTTCAATTTTATTTGGAAGGGATTATGTTTGTAAGCACTGCTTGATTGGCTGGCTCTAGAAGCTGAAATGTTTGCTTTGTTGCAAAGAAGTGGCAGAATATGGGCACCAGATAAAACAAATTTCCTTTGGCTGCTCCACTAGTCTGACTGAACACTAACATGAAGGAACAAAACCTTTAAGGATAAGAAGGTAAATTACGTTTTCATCCCTTCAATGCTTGGCATAGTTACAGAGACTGTCAGCAATAATGTTAATTATTATCATCTGCAAGAGCTCTCCAAATCCTGTGGGACTCACATCGCCATTTACACAGACCAATGAACAAATATAAGATGGTGACAACCTTCAGTTACTACCCATTTGGGCAAGTGACGTATTCAAGAAATCTTATACCCATTTACCACTGGTTACTTCTACTTATTCCTTATCCCCCTGCTAATCAAAACCAAGGCTGTTTAGAAAAACAAATATTTCAAAGGCAATTAAAATTAATAATTATACTGAAATGAAATGATGACTGGAAGGAGAAACACCTTGTTAGCAACATTGCCCACTATTACTACCCTATTGTTTAGCAGTAAGTAGTTTGGGATTTGAGATTTCAGCTTGTTCAAGATTGAGGAATTTCATCCTCCTCAAATGTAATCATAGAAGACTATGAGGGTCAGCACGCTCTTTTCTGTTTAACTTTCCAACAGCAAGTGTTGTATAAACCTTAGATCCTGCCCTTAGTAATCTAAGTGGCACTTCTTATTCAGTGAAGTTCTACTCTGAAAATGTTGTGAGAACACCAGGGTTAATAACCACTCTTCTCCTTTGAACTGTGAAGAAGGAAAAAATTAAGCCATCCAAAAGATTATATGGTACATTCAAGCAGCCATTAAGCACCATGCTGAGGTGATGGTAGAGGCTCTTCATCTATTTTTTATATTGTAACTAGGACTTGCACTTAACTAATGGTGCTAGCTATATTTTTATGCATTAAACACACTAGCTGACAGCAAGCTGAAACATAGGCATTGCTAAGTCTCTTAAGCAATCTTAATACTTTCAGACCCCCACCTGGTGAGCCGACAAGAATGTTTTCTTAGTATTTGAGAGCAGTGGGAGTATATGTGGCAAGGGAACTGCTATTTATAAAATTTATATCAGTGTTCTCCTGCTGGTTTTTCAGACAATAAAGGAAATGGATTAGACAACAAGAACAATAAAGCTTACTTCACAAGTTTCTTGCAGTTGCTTGAAAATTCCAGCCAGTGTGCTTCACTTCAGAGCAACACATAATGTAAATTGGACTCGTTTCCCTGAAAGCTGCCTCCTATTCTCATTTTAGTTACATTTATTCCTATGTTGGTTTAGACTGACTGAGGTGAAACTGAGAAGTGAAAAAACCCCATCAACTGGGCAAAATGAGGGAACAGCAGTATAAAAGTGATCATAGCTGGGGTGGGTTGACCCTGACCAAAATGCCAGGTGCCCACCAAAACCACTCTATCACTCCCCTCCTTAACTGGACAGGGGAGAGAAAAAAAAAACACAACAACAGGCTTGTGGTGTTGAGATAAGGACAGGGAGATCACTCAGCATTTACTGTCACGGGCAAAACAGACTCGACTGAAGGGAAATGTAATTTGTTACCAATTAACTCAGAGAGGAGTAATGAGAAATAAAACCAAATCTTAAAACACCTTCCCCCCACCCCTCCCTCCTTTCCTGGGCTTAACTTCGATCCCGATTTTTCTCCCTCCTCTGCCTGCAGCGGCACAGGGGGGAAAACAGGAAATGGGGGTTGGGGTCAGTTCATCACTCTGTTGTTTTCTGCTGTTCCTTCCTCCTCAGAGGGAGGACTCCTCACACGATTTTCTTGCTCCAATGTGGGGTCCCCCTCACAGGA